GGTACATGGCAGATTTTTAATGTAACTCACTGTATGAAGACTTGATGGTACAGAAGGTGATAGGGATAGCAGTAGTATTTTCAGTATATTTCTGGACACAGTGTAGTCCTCTTTAGTAATGTTGCTGTGCATGTGTATATGGTGCAGGGAATTTTCAGAGATACAACCAAGAGGTGCCCAGCTCTTGTTGACTTTCAGCAGATGCTCACCTGCATTTTGTATTTTGGAAAATCTGTCACAGTAATGTATGGAATTTTCAACGAAGCCTAGAGAAGTCGAAGTCCCAAACCCAGCTGAAAATTAGTGTTCATATACTGCTGGCATATTCTGTGATGGAAAGGGAGAGGACTACGTTCGTTGTAGAAATGTTCTGTAATCCAGACTTTACCATTTGGTCAAGCAAGCTCAAATGCTGTTGGTTAGATGTCCAGTTTTTCTATTTACTGAATGCCTAGATGAAGTTTCTCAGCTGGCATAGCTTGATACAGCACACTCAGATCAATGGACCTGTGCTGATTTACACAAGCTAAGGAACTGGATCTCAAGATGTTAATTTTCTTGGGACCTCTTTTGTGTGAGATGAGTTCAAACAGTTACTTTCCCCCCATTTCCTTCTCCTAGTAGGATAATAACCAGTGTCTTGGTTGTCCTAGTTGGGTTAAGAAAGAAGTAAAATAAATTGGTATGTAAGATACTCCCCCTAATAACAGTCTTCCACCCCAGGGCCTTTACAGGCTGATCCAGAGATTATGGGTTGAACCCTTTTCGTATGAAAACCAGTGCCAAAACTCTCACAGTAGGAATGGAGATCAAGCCCTTTATGAATCTCTTTTCCCAATATTGTGGCAGGAAGCCACAGTGTATAAAAATACTGCAGAACAGTTTAGTATGGGAAAGATAGTAGAGTTAAAAATCAGAGAGACTTTTTGATAGAATAATTTGGGTGTGAAACATGCCCTTATTTTTACAGTATGTACTGTGGGACCTTTAAAGAAATGCAAGTAGTAGCACCTCAAACGTCATGTCTTACCTGAAACATTCCTGTTTTTCCATTAGTAGTAACAGGCCTTAAGCATGTAGATGAAAAAGAGAATAGTAAGTGCTAAGCAACTCTCTGTTTAACATTCCTGTATGATTTCATTGAATCATTGATTCCTCTCCCAGATTTACTGCGCTGTTCATTGAATAGATCTGTGTTTTTAAAAGATCTTCTTCTTCATAAACTTTATTTCCTTATCAGCTGAGCTGGCAAGGCCTTACCTCCAGCTTGATGGCATTCATCTTTTTAGAGGTTTTTCTGGTAGGATGTAAGGAAATCTCTTTTGAATGCCACATCCAGACAATTCCAGAATGGCAGACAGTGTTTTAGATATCAGCAAGCCAAACCCTGTGCATCTTAGAGAAAATCAGAAAAAACAGGGAGGAAGGTGAGGGACATGTTGCATCCCTGTTACCTTCAGCAGAGCCACGACATGAAGCACTCCTGCACTTCCCTGTAGACTAAAGAACTGGTTGGTGGCCCCAATTAATACCTTTCTACAGACCAGCATTCCCATCTCTGTTCTACTTTCCTCCCTGGATCATTTGAGGTGTTGATATCCTAGAATGAATTCTCTTTCATACAGAACAAAAATAAATAATAATGGACCCCCTTTCTTTCTGTGGAGACGGTATGGGGCACACACACACAGAGCCCCTGGACTGGAGGAAATAGGGGCTTTGGGGATGATGGGGGGTTTCAAGGTATCCCTGAAATAGTGGGAGGGCAGTACACAGGGAGCTTGTTGGAGAGAATGTAAGGATGAAAACACATCCCGGTGCGTGCGTTGAGCTGGGCCACAAGAAGCAAAACTGCCGTCCCCAATATAATTTCATTTACTTTGCCCTACTTTTTCCTCTTTGCACATTAGGAAAAAGGAGATAAAATCTATTACAGAGCATCTGACTGCAAAGTGAGGAGTGAATTGACTTCAGCATGTGATAAGTAATGATGTGAGGGACTCAGATGTGCATTTAGACTCCAGTAAAATTTCTGAATCAATTGGCTGAGGTGTGGGCAGTATTGAAATTGCTTGTCTATTTGGAAGATATTCCTGATGGGGAAAGTGGATTTCAGCTATCCTGCGTGATTTAGTGTGTTGTGGGCTGCTTGCATTTCTTTTCCTTTCTGTTAGGAATTGCCTTTTTAAATGTAGTAATTATTTTAAAAGTCCTACAGTAAGCTATAACTTTTTAATGGTAAATGCAGCCTTTCCTAGACAGACTGTCCTAAAGTTGTGCACTCTTCTGATGTTCTTTTGGAGGCAGAACATCAGGAGTCCTAGCTTCTACCTCTGACCGCACCGTATGTGACCTTGGACAACTCATTTACGTTTCTGTTACCCAGCTTCATCTGTCAAACAGATACACTCCATCAGATCCTCTAGTAATAAAACATCACTGTGAGGTTTAAATGCTGCTTCGGTAGCCACTTTGAGATAAAAAGGAACTGCAGAAATGCAAAATAGTACTACTGGATAGGAAAAAAGAGAATATATCAGTTTAAATGTCAAGAGAATGGCTTGTTTTGATCTGTTTTGCTCCAGTCTTGGGCACAAAGCTAGAGAGAGATTTAAAATCTCTTATCTCCCCAGCTTTTTTATTCCATCTAATTTTTTTAGAAAACTGGTTTGCTTTCAGATGAAGTGCTAATGTATACTGCTGAGTAAACGTAGTACTTTGGAATGTGATTCACTGGACTGCCTATTCCATTCATGTATTTTGATACACAACTTGCACAGTGTAATTAGGAGAAACCTACAACCACGTGAACATTTTATCCAAGAATCACCATTGCATTTTTAAGGCTTAATTCAGGCTTAATTCTGTGCCTGCTGACCTGTGAAGTGAAGGCCAGACAACCACACAATTAATACTAATACCTTCTTTCCCTCACTGGGAGCTTCAGAATCCCACATTAGATAGTTCCTCTCCTTAAGCACAACAAGAAGTGGGTTTCTGCCAGCTTGTTCGTGAAAGGCAAATGAAGGGTTCAGCTAGGAATTCCTTTGAAGTCCATGGGAATTGGATCAGACTGTAGCAGGGTGTCTTGAAAAGGACTCTTCAGTCGTTTGTTAGTGTGATACAAGCACATAATCTGATTCTTTTTTTGCTCACCTGGATTTTGTGCTGTGTAACTCCACTCCCTTCGAACTTCTGGTTGTCAGTGAAGTAAGAGGAGAAGCAGGCTCATAGTTCTGTGGGCTTGTGGTCAGCTATACCAGAAAATCCTTCCATGCTTTTATGGGCCGCTGTAAGGTACCACTTGTGAGTTAGGACGTAACCCTGAAAACCGTTTCTACACTGCACGTCTCGGTCCGCTCCATGGCTTTACTCACATGAGTAAAGATTTGCAATCTTCCACTTTTACTTTAATATTATTCCATTTACAGATTGAAGAAAGTTAGTGAGAATTAAAATTCAGTGATAAACTTAACTGAGATTTCCTCACTTCCGTGTTTAAAATTTATAGCGGTCATGTTCTTTCACAGCTGTATTTGCAAGAAGGAATAATTTATCTACTTTTTAACGTAAAGTTTGCAGAGATTTTTATTAGGTATACCATAATTTTCCCACTGTCCTCTCCTGTACTTACTGTACTCTATGGCTCCTGTCTGAAATTTTCCCAGGATAACATAGGGATAAAGATTTGAACGTAAGAATCCAAAGAACATAAGAAGTAGCTTGTCTTCAGAGAAAAGTAATTTGGACAGGACATTTGGTTTTACAATGCATACAGAGTACGGGTGGGCAAAGCAGGCAGTATTTGGGTTTGGCCCAATTCAGGGGACAGTGATTCGATTAGCTGATTTGGATCACTGTTCCGATTCGATTCGGCTGAATCTGAAGATTCGATTCTGATTCGGAGAATCAGCAATTCAGCCATAGACACAGCTTTATATGTTTTTTCTACATACCTCAAGGTACCAGGCCTGGCTCGTTAATGCTGAGATGATGGGGTGGATGGAGCATCCCATGGAAGTGCAGGGGGGTCTCCTGCGTGCTCGGCAGTGGACCACCCCACGTTCCTCCAGCTCGGCAATCGGCCGTGGGGGGACCCTGGGTGCCGCCTCCAAACTGAGGAGGCAGCAGTCGCCGAGGCGGGGGGGATCCCCCGCACGCTCCAAAGCAGACTCAGAAGTGGACCAGAAATACTTCTGGTCCGCTTCTGGGTCCGCCACTGAGCACGCCGGGGACCTCACTCACATTCCTGTGGGACTCTCTGTCTGCCCCACCATCTCAGCATTCACGAGCTGCCTGGTACCTTGAGGTATGTAAAAAAAAAA